AAACGCCAACATTTTGGTAATGTGCATTAGAGCGCGGGTGGCCCGAAGACCTGTGCATGAACATTTCCCAGGTTCTAGACAAGTCGTTACAATAGCGGTGACGTCCTCGTCTGGTGTCTGGAAGACTGTTGTTGTTCCTGTTCAACCTTGTCAGAGATTGTCGTTATGAACTCACAGCACGGCCTCTTAATGACCGTCTTGACATTAAGGCTATGGCTTAAGGAATACCATACTGAGGGTAATGTTGTATGAGAAAAACAAATGGTAAAAGTTTTTTGCAGTCACTGTCATGGGGTGTGGAAATAAAACCACTGAAGTCCTGAACTCCAGATATTTTCAGGTAATGCACTCTGGAGACGGTTCATTTAGCATTCATTTGGTCAGTAATAAATTTACATTCAGGTTCGACCACCATGGAAATTAATGTTCTTCATAGTCTTGTGATTTGTTTTGGGGGAATTTCCATACATTCAAAGAGAGTAGATGATTTTACCTGAAGGGTTTGGAGTTAAGGTTGAAATCCAAGGAAGTTGTTCAATGGCTTCTGTGTATCACTGGTTTCCTGTGTGTGGGTGTGGCCCCCTCCTGGGGAGGGGGAGCTATAGCAGGGGGTTGCAGCACAGCAAATTAGTTATTTGAAATTTCCCCATTTTGTAACTTTGTCTCACTTGTTCAATAAAAATTAGTGTTGTAGGAGTTTCAGTGTGTCAAAAAGGTTCTGTTTTGAAGCAATCAGTGCCAACAGTAAAACCCTCCAAATAAAAAAGAATTAAACTTGTATTTTTCAATTCGCATATTGATTTTAATTCGTAAATTATGAACTGCAAAAGCCAAGAACCGACCACAACTGTTATATCTTAGTTTGTATCTTAGTTTTTAAATTTACCTTCAGATCTATGAATGTGTTGATTTGCAGTCCTAGGTTTCTGTGGGAAACTTCCTGTATACACTCTCATTAAAGTAATGGTACTCACATGACTTCTGGCATGCAAAGTTTTTTTTATGATTTAATTTATATATGTATTTTACATCGCCTTCAGTGCCCTGTGGAGAACATTTATATAGTACTCCAGTAATTGGTTCTGAAATAATGCTGCTTCATACTGTATTTGTTATAAATAACTCACAGAATCCAGCAGTGTTTGTTTAGGTACACACCATCATTTCATAATGCTACTACTTAAAGAGAATGTTTTTTTTTTCCTCAATATTATTATGTCTGCTTTGTGATGTCTTCCTGGAAGCTACGCACATCATTTCAGCAGCTATTCATCTCCGAGAGCCTGGAGTCAGTAAAAATCAAAAAGGGTAAAATACAAAGGCAAACTCAACAAATAACAATAAAAAAAAAGCTTAAACAGCAAAATTCAAAGTAAGCATTTAAACCAGCCCAAGAGTTCTGCCCACAGTGTTCACTCAAAGGATTTTAGTTATATCTTAAGTGCCTGTGGCGAAAGCCGTGTGGAAAGAAAGAGCAGCTTTTACAGGATTTAGTCTTCATTCCATCTGAATAAAAAAAAGGCAAAACCAAACCAGAACTGTTCTTTTGTTAGGGATGTACGTGATACATCATTGTTAGATGACCTCAGTGTCAGTGCTGCCGCTTTCTCAGCAGCTACTGCCGTCCTGGTTGGACAATAACTTTGACTAATAAAAAAAGCAAAATCACATTTGAGCCACTTCAGGGCATGTGGACAATATTTTTAGGTCTGTAAAATGGTTACATTTTTATTCTTTGGCTATGGATTAATTAATGATTAATCATGATTAATTGTGGTAAGAAGGAGTCGTAAAGATGCAGAAAATGTGTTTTCTGTACATTTCATGAACATAAAGACAAATGTCAGCAGGGAAACGTTTGTGTTTCAAACCTGTTTTTTATTTTTGACAAATCAAAATGAGCTGAAAAATGTTTCCCTGCAACCTGTGTAAATTACATGATTGGTCTGTGTGTCAGAGCAACAATCAGTGGATGTGTTCAGTCACACATAATAATTATGTTACTGATTCTTGCATTTAATGCTAACATCAGATGTTGGATTATGTAAAAAGATTAAACAAAAGTCATCAAAACTTTTTAATGAAAGTTAAGGATTTTTTTAACCTTTTAAATCAGAATATAATTAGCCTGAAAATGTTCTTAAAACTAAAAAAAAGAAAAACTTCCTAATGGAATGAAACTGGTGCTGGAACACGAAGCTTCTTTGATGTGTTTGAAAGTTAGACTTTCAAACCTCCCGTACGGCACTTCTGTGATCAGTTATATAAAAAAAGTTCCTCTTTAAGTCTGAAATAGTTGATCATCCATATTGCTGTCATGAGACTTTTATTTTTAAATCTTATTTTATCACTGTATATGCAGACATGCAGGTCAACACGATGTTAAAACCACCAGTGTTTGTATGCTGTCTGATTAGCAGGGACTTTGCCCTGACTTCATTCCATGATGTGCAATTAACCAATAGACAACAAGGGAGTAAATGACAACCAATTACATATTTAACTCAGCAAGTATTAAAAAAAAAAACAACAAAAAAACAGTGATCCGCGGAATAATTCTTCTTTGGTTTGTGAAATGTTAAATATGTTCCGATCTAATTGTCCTTGGTCTCAGTTTGGAATCAGCAGGCGACCGTCATCCTTGCTGGGAGCACACTTTCTCTCATCACTGACGACACACACACGAGCTCACAGTAATGTCCTGTATGCACATTAATATTGTTCCCACTAATGATTTACAAGCAGACCTTGAGGCAGTGGACCTATATCCCACAAAAGTCTGGCTGAATGCCCAATGACAAGCCTTACACCACAAATTAAAAAAAAAGAATAAACACACACAAACACACACACACACACACAGGAACACACACACCTTTTGTCTCTAACTACTCTGCTTCTTCATCTACATAATAGACAAACAAAGGTTCATAACAACTCTCCAATATGTAAATTAACTTTAGGGCTGTACCCTGATTGTGATGTCACCAAAGTTGGGCTAGAAACGTGTTTTTGATTGGTCCCAGACCGTTGACACTTCAGACATCTACACCAGGGGTCACCAAACTTTTTGAAACTGAGAGCTTCTCTGGGGTCACTTAGTAAGACGAAGAGCTACTTGTTTGATACAGACTTCCCGAACATCGTAATAATGATCAGTTCTGGGACATACAATGGTAGACAGTCTTCTTACCATCGTCACTGCACCCATTTGAATATCACTGCAAGTGGAACTGATTCAAACATTTTTTTGATTCATCAATTTTTGACACTCTTGTTGACTAGTTTTATTTTAACAACAACATCTTAGGTAGTCCACAGGGGCTACCAGGTGACCCCTGATCTACACCATGTGGCAGAGGAGGTGACCAGAGTTTCTTGAGGTTTTTTGTTAGTCCAACCCTGTAGTACAATTACCTACAGTTGTTCTACTATCGCTGTGTTGGTGGTTCAAAAAGATTTCAATATCAGCGTCTTCAGCTGCAGTACAGTTCTGATTTAGCGTCAAATTAGTTGCACTGAAACATATGAATTTGCAGGGATGGACTTTTGGCGGCTAGGATGAGCTGCTGGGGAAACAGGGATTGCTGTAGGTAGTGAATTCTGCGCTCTGCTCTCCATCTCCGGCGCTGTGCACCTCTATGTCTCAAAGCGGGTTCTCTGCATTCATCTTGGTCTGGATCATTTCTTGTCGATGAAGTGACGGCTACAGTTTTTGCTTGTGTCATCAACATTCTGTTGCAGACACGTTGTTTCTGTGATAAAAGTCTTTTGGACAAAAACTAAAAACAAAAATGGTGGTGGATGAATAAATGTTTATGGTGACGTGTTCATGTGACACTGCCCTCTACATGTATTTTTTCAATGTAGATTTTTTAAAAAAAAATTTGTATTTTTTCAATGTAGATTTTTTTTTAAAAATGTGTGACACAATAACAAAACAAAGTTTTGTTAACAATAACCCAATACCAAAACAAAGTTTTGGTATTGGGTTTTGTTAACAATAACCCAATACCAAAACATTAAAAATCCCTAATTTCCTGAAGGGACCCCCAGAGTATTTAAAATATCAAATGCCCATAAATTCCCGTACTGTTACCTCTAGGTTCATGGCTGGCTGCGTAGGTTTCTGTTCCTCACTGCATTACAGAACCTGTGACACCAGCTCACACTTCACTCCCCCTGCTGCTCGTGTCCCTTGACCCGGCGTCAGCAGGTTAATAACCAGCTGCAATCAAAGCCATTTGTTATCTGCTGCCTGGCATTGATAGGCCATGTCAGCAGCTGCCTCGCCCTTGTCACCGCCGCCTGTGACAAATTCTGTGTCAGGTCTCACGGTTCTCAGGCTCCAGTGAGGCTTCGCAGTACTCCTGTACTGTGACCCCGTCCCATATAAATAACCTCAGATTCTTCTTCCATGATGTCTCCTGGGATTAAATATCAATTAATCCCTCGCTCTTCTGTTGAGTCCCTAATACCAGGCATTCATTAAAGCAATTAATTTTACAGTGTTTTGTGCAAATTAGACAAGTATCATTTGCAGCGCTAATCTCAATATGCCTGACTGAGCTTCACAGACTCACAGCCGTTGAATTTATACTCATCTGTGACACGTGCCCGTGATGAAAAGGTAATCACCATAAAGATTTTATCGAAGCGTCTGAGCACAGCAGTGGCTCGACAGTAAATTTCTCAGAGCCAGCAACACAACGGCACAGAAGTAAAGCAGCCTGAGAAGTCGGGGCCAGACATTCAACGGTTCAGGGTTTCCAGCCGTGGCTCCGGGACCGGCAGCGGGGTGGAATACTAATGCATAATGGAAGAGTCGGAGCTGAACTGTGGTTCATTCTGCCGGTGCTTTGTTGGTTTTTCAGTTTAATGTCATGTCAACAAACACAGTTTCAGTGTTGGCTCCTTGGATTAAATGTTGATCTGGCTCACTGATACCCGCTCTTCTCTCTCTCTCTCTCTCTCTCTCCCTCTCCCTCCGTCTTCTGCAGAGATGTCTGGGATGAGTGAAGACATCTCCCAGGTGCACTGGAAGCAGCAGTGGTTGGAGAACGGGACGCTGTACTTCCATGTGTCAATGACTGAGTCGGAGCTCGTGGCCCAGGCGACGCAGCCCACGCCCAGGGAGCCCGCTCACGTCCTCCACGAACACATGCACCTGCTGCACATCTCAGTCATGGTGAGTACACGAAAAACAGGTGGATTTGATTATTAAAACATGATGTATTGAATGAGCATCAGTATCGTCCGATGTTCGCCTCGTTTACTGCCATTGGGAAATCGGTTTGTTTAGCCAGGCTACTGTCGACTGTAGCCAACGCCAAAACAGCAAATCAACAATGTAACAATATCAGTAATATTCACCGCGGATCGCTCCTCGCTCCGACTCCACACGCACACACAGTCCTGCCCACCTTCCTCCACCTGAACCACGTGACTGACAGACTTCTCAGCCAATGTCAACACCCTCACTGGGAAAATGTAGTAATTTAACATTTTATTCATGTTCAAGTTGTTTTTATAGTTTCACTTGAAATATTTTTATATTTCTGAGAAAAATATATTTGGGAAAAAGAATCTCATTCAGTAAGTTTTTGTTTGTCAGTCATTCAAATCATTTTCTAAGACTGAAGAACTGCTTTCATTGGTTAGTTAGCAGTCTTAGAGAAAGGTTTTTTTTTTTTCAGAAAAGTCCTTGTCGTGTGAATTACGGTTATCTCGAATGTCAACTAAAATTAACCTTAAAGGTTGTTTTTGTTTTTTCCTCATTCAAGGACAGTATGATGAAGAGCTAAAAGACGTCTTTAAATAGTTCAGTAATGTTTCTGTGGCACAAATTTAGGGAAAAATATTTTAAACATTAGTAACGGCCCAGAATCAATTCATCCCTAATGGAGTTTTTTTTCCTGCTCATTGTTGTTGGATTTGAATGAATGATCGAATCTGGCAGATTTGTTTTCTCATTTACATTTGCTGTTTGTTAGTGTTAGTAAAAGTCTGCATTTTGTCCTCTGCACTGTACTGTGCAGTAGACATAAATACTTTAGTAGTAACAGTATTACATTTAGTTTCATTGCTAATCCAACGTTAATGCAATATTCTAATATAATGTTTATGAAAATGAAAAGATGTTTTTTGAACAAGTACTTCATCTTTTCTTCTCATATTTTATTATTATATTTTATTATTTATTTTAAGTTGCAGCTTAAAGTTTTAGATTAAAAAAAAGTTCACATGCTCTCGATTACTTCTACGTCTGCAGATATGAATCCTTCTCGTTGGATACCCTCAGCCATGACATTATTCCCGATGTTAGTAGTACTTGGAGTATTTTCTGTTCATTTTAATGTCAGAGTCAAATGCAGTACAATCTGTGGCAGTTTGTTCTTGTTGTACCTGAGATATCTTTTTATGAATTTCGGTTTTGAAAAAGTACTTCCATACCAGTATTATTGCATTCCATATAGTTTCTTTGGTAATCCGGTATAAATGCAAAGCTCTGAGTGTTTATTTTCAGAAGTATTTAATTTTCTCCAAAATTGTTTTATTTATTCATCTCTGTTGTCAACCTTTTCAGACATGGTTCGCAGCCTTAATACTGTGGAACTATTTAAGCATCTTAGTTTTTTTTTTCTTAAAGTTCTGCTGTAGGTCAAAAGGTCACTTTAAACTTGTAATTGAGAAGTGAAAAAAAAATTAAATTAATTATAAATATCATGGGTGCTTGTTATAAAAATATCTGATTTCATTTTCACACACAATTTGGCTTAACAAGCTGTGGAACGCTGCTCCTGATTAATGGTGCAGATTATTGGAATATTTTTTCCAAGAAAAAGTTTTGGGTTTTTTTATAATTTTTTTCCATCATTTTTCAGTTTTGTACGCACCCATCCAGTGCTAACATCAAATATGCGTTGGCTGGCACTCAGCTGTTTATGCAAACCGGTGACCTGTCCGTCACACTCTCAGTGTCGGTACTCGTGTTAATCCTCTCCTCTGTGCGATCACACTCTCCAGATAAGCAGTGACTTATCTCTCTGTGAGTTTCCTCAGCTTCTGTTCGTAGCGTTTGTGGTGCAAATCTGTGAGGATGAAAGAGTGATGAAGTAGAAATAAGAATCTGGTGAAGAGTGATTACGACAAGTCCACATTTTAAGGCAGGGGGCGTCAAACTCAATCACTGGACGGGCTGAAGTTGTGGGCCACACAGGATTAATATGTCTGTGGTGCTGACGGTGCTTCAACCAAAAGTGTAGGATTTGAACAGCTTGCGACAACATTTTCCTTATGGAAATATTTAGTTCGAAATAATCAAAATAACGGACAAAGTTAAAGTATTGTTAGTAATAAAAATGACTTAGTACTTGAAAAGTATGTTAGTCAAGTTGTGGGGACGATAAGTTCCTGTTTGTCCCATGTTTGTCATAAAATGAAAATGCATTCTGGGAGTTGTACTTCATGGTAAATATGCGCTTGTGTAGAATCAGAGACTTAGAGTTTTGAAATACTCACCATGCATGTTATATATATATAAAGACACAGTATTTGACTATATATTTAACTAATTCAGTAAACATTAGTATATACCCCTAAAACAAAACCTTGCTTTTTTTTCAAACATCAACCACTAAGCTCTAGTGGGCCACATAAAACGCTGTTTCGGGCCAAATGTGGTCCACGCGCCTCAAGTTTTGCATACATACTTTAAGAGATATATGTGATAAATAATGCTTACTGTTTAAATTAATTAGTCCAAGTCAGAGATCATCAACTGGTGGTTCTCAGGCCATATCTGGCACACCAAAATTGTGTAGAATCAGAGACTTAGAGTTTTGGCACACCAAAATCCAATCCAGCCCACAATTTCATTCCAAAATGACCATCAAATAATAATGTTAGACAAGCTTGTAATTTCTATATTATTTAATTTGAGTGTCCGGCCCGGAAGGTGTCTGTCCAGAAAAATTCTAGTCCTGCGACAAATATAGTTGGCGACCCCTGGTGTAAGTAAATGCCTCCAACCTCAGACCTCAGGGTAGAAGAATAGTCGATGGTCTACGGCGGACCCTTGTGGCTGACACCTCTGTTGTCTAGTTCTTTTCTTTTGTTCTATTTTGAACCTTGTGTGTGTGTGTGTGTGTGTGTGAGCGTCTCCTCACAGCTCCACCTTTATCACAGCACGATGGTGACACCTCCATTTGAGAGCTGTGCTTCACGCCGACATAGGAAACAGTGAAAAGTGACACAGCGAAGAAACATGTTGCTTTCTGTTGTTTCGGAGTTTGATATCCATGAGTCCACGACACCTTGAAACACTGGGATCGTTCCCTCTCTATTTCGCGGTTCTCCTTACGCTCCATCAGTACATCGCATACTTTTTTTTAATCTGATCTCGCAAAATTTTCACTATATCGTGAGATATAGCAAAAACTAAATTAAAGACGTTATAAACTAATTTTGTATATGAAAGTTTTGGCTTTAAAAATCTAGATTCTCGTTTTGAAATTGAGTGGATTTGCGAACGATCGCTGTTAGCTTTGTTTACCTAGACGAGATCGTATACAGCATACTTTTGGCTAATACAATGCATACTCGGTGTACTACTGGCTAATGAAGCATGCTCTTCTGTTCCTTCATGTTCACTGAGGTCAAGGCTACAGACCAGATACACAAAGACGTTTTGTCTGACACTTTCTTCTTTGTGAAAATACTGCGTTTGTTGCCCTGACATACATTTTATTGCTCTCTGTTGTTTAAGTCTATTTTTTACAACAGCCACTGAAACTGACAACAGTGAAACACTGACAGCCAGGTCTTTGACAGTAAATGATACTTAATGTTGTTTTGTTTTTTTTGTTAGTTATTATATATTATATAATATTATTTATATTTGGCAGATCTTCAAAACAAGTGATTATTTACAATCAGCATATTTGCTTAATCACTGAAGGAAACGAGAGTTACAAAACGTTGACTATGTGTTGTATGTGTCCCTTTGATTAAACATGGCATCTGTCAGGACGGGGAGGATTTATTTATGTAGTCATTTTTAAAAAGACACAAAAGAACTGTTTTCTGTTCAGCTGATTTATTTGCTCTGTGCTGTTGTGTCTTCTCATCCTCATTGGAAGGTTTTTTTCCCCCTCTTATTTCTGCCTTTCTGTGTGGCATTGAGGCATCTTTTGGCAAACCACAAAAAAGTCAAGAAAATAATTAGAATTTAATAAGAAGAAAAAAGTCAAATTGACATTGGGTCCATTCATCTGCGTCTCTACCTTGACCTGCAAATACAGCAGTTGATATTCAATTTTTTTTCTATAAAAATGTGCTAAAACTAACAGGTTAATGATACACTTTCATCCTTCACTCACATGATTCCCAGACTCTGAAAAGTCGACGTCTCTTTAGTCACTTCTGTTATTATAAGAGCAGGAGGGTTTTAAATTGCAGCACCAAAAAAATTGGATAAAAAAAGGTTTAAGAGGGCATGTCTAAAAAAACTTTCAAGATTCAACTTTAAACTTCAAGTATATTCATCAACAATTTCACCCTGGGGATCAATAAGATATTCATGATTCTGATTCTGATTCTGATTCTGATGAATTGCCACTAGGAAAAAAATCTTCTTCTACTTCTGCTTCTTCTGGTTCTTTATCTTTTTCTTCTTCTCTTTCCTTGTCGTCTTTAAAAACATCCACAAATCCTTTTCTAATCAGATACTTCTGTCTGGAACTGTTTCATTTGTTTTTCTTGTTGTTTTTAATTAGAAATTGGTAGTTTTAGTTTTAGACAGATTTTTTTTGTGGTTGAAATGTCCTTTCATATGCAGACGACTCTATTCTATCTATTGAAGCAAACTCAGAAGGACAGCTGTTTCACGGGCATGTCCTCATCGCTCAAAGGTTTCCTGTAGCTCTGTGAGAACATTGTTATGTTTGATGTTGGCGGTTCATTATTAGTGCAACCCTACTGAATTAGGGATAGCCAATGTACTTTAACAAAAAACCCAGCCTTTCAGTAATAAGCTGTTTACCTACCATGGAAACAAATGTAGAATAAAAATGTAACTATTCGTAAGCCTTTACTTTATTGGTCGACTTTGATGGCATCCTGTCAGTATGCTAAAGGAAGCCCAACAAATGTTACCTTCAGTTACAGCATACCTATTACCTTTGCTGC